GAGGTCAGTTGGGGAATGAACCACAGAATGGAAGATTTCTCTCTCTCTCTCTTTCTCTCTCTCCAACACTCTATTGAAAAGAAATTTTTTTAAACAAATCTGTTTTTAAAAATTTTTATTTATTTATGTATATGAAAGGCAGAAAGACAGACAAAAAGAGATGCCATCTGTTAGTTTATTCCCTATATGTCCAAAATGACTGGGATGGGCCAGGCTAAAGTATGGTGGCAACAACGCAATGCAGGTGTCCCATGTAGATGGTAGGGGCCCAAACAGCCATCACATACTGCCTTCTGGGGTACACATTAGCAGAAAGCTAGGAACAGAAGCAGAGCCAGGACTCAAACCCAGGCATTCTGATATATGATGTGGGCATCTTAACTGCTAGGTTAAATGCCCATCCAATATTTATTTTTGGTGTAAAACAAACTTTGAAATTCATGCATTGTTTTTCATAATACATATTTTCCATAAATACTTTCAAGTCTCTCAGTATGAAGAGATTTCAAAGATCAAAGATCTCGCTCGGTCTCCGCCTCTGACTTTGAAATAAATCAATAAATCTTGGGGCTGGTGCTGTGGCATAGTGAGTAAAGCTACCACCTTCAACACCAGCTTCCTATACAGCACTGGTTCAAGTCTCAGCTGCTCCACTTCTGATCTAGCTTCCTGCTAATGGCCTGCAAAAGCAGTGGAAGACAGCCAAAGTGCTTGGGCTTCTGACACCCATGACGGAGACCAGGAAGAAGCTCTTGGCTCCTGGCTTTGGCCTGGCCCAGCCCTGGCAGTTGAGGACATTCTGGGAGTGAACTAGCAGATGAAAGATCTCTCGCTCTCTCTCTCTCTCTCTTACTGCAACTCTGCCTTTCAAATAATTTTTTTTTGACACACTTAGATAGTGAGAGAGAGAGACAGAGAGAAAGGTCTTCCTTTCATTGGTTCACCCCCCAAACGGCTGCCACGGCTGGCGCTGTGCCGATCCGAAGCCAGGAGCCAGGTGCTTCCTCATGGTCTCCCATGCGGGTGCAGGGCCCAAGCACTTGGGCCAACCCCCACTGCTTTCCCAGGCCACAGCAGAGAGCTGGACTGGAAGAAGAGCAACCGGGACTAGGACCCGGCGCCCATATGGGATCCCGGCGCCGCAGGCGGAAGATTAACCAAGTGGGCCACGGCGCTGGCTCCAATAAATAAATCTTTAAAAAATTTTTTTTAAAAAGCTGAAGCAAAGAACCAGGCAAAGATGATTCCTAATAACATGGAACATATAAGTAGCTGAATAAGGCACACGGAGGGAGAAAAGAATGGACAATAAAGCAGAACATATAGGAACAGAAAATGTGCTGTTTGAGTTTAAAATATCTTAAAATAAAATGAGGGGGCTGGTGTTGTGGTGCAGCAGGTTAAAACCCCAGGCTGCAGCACCGCAGCCCATATGGGTGCCAGTTCAAGTCCCAGCTGCTCCTCTTCAGATCCAACTCTCTGCTATGGCCTGGGAAAGCAGTGGAAGATGGCTCAAGTCCTTGAGCCCCTGTAACCATGTGGGAGACCTGGAAGAAGCTCCTGGCTCCTGACTTCGGATCAGCGCAGCTCTGGCTGTTGCGATCATTTGGGGAATGAACCAGAGGAATGGAAGACCTCTTTCTCTCTATGGCTCTACCTCTCTCTGTAAATAATTTAAAATAATTAAAAAAAAAAAAATGAGATGTCCAGGGCCAGCACTGTGGACTGTGGTATAGTGGGTAAGGATAACTACCTGCAGAGCCAGCATCCACTTCCAATCCAGCTCCTTGCTAATGCACCTGGGAAAAGCAGTGGAAGATGACCCAAGTACTTGGGGCCCCACACCCACATAAGAGACCTGGATGAAACTCCTGGCTCCTGACTTTGGCCTGGCCCAGCCCTGGCTGTTGCGGCCATTTGGGGAGTAAATCTGTCGATGGAAGATCTCTTTCTCTGCCTCTCCCTCTGTTATTCTGCCTTTCAAATAAATATATCAATCTTTTTTTAAAAAGAATGAGCTGTTCACTAAGAGTTGACACATAGGCCAGATGATCAATAGAAAGGCTGGAGATCAGCATTTTGGTAAAATTTCAATAACGAACACTTTGGTTAAAAAAACAAAACAGAATGAGCCCAGCAGTTAAGCATTGCCCCCCGATGTGCGTGCACATGCACACACACACACACACACACACACACACATTACCCCAATGGAATGCTGGGGTTGGAGTCCCAGCTACTCTCTCAATTCCAGTTTCCTGATAATGCACACCTTGGGAAGCAGCAAATGATAGCTTAAGTAGCTGCATCCCTGCTACCTATGTGGGAGACTTGGATTGAGTTCCCAGCCCTGGTATGGCCCAATCCCAGCCATTGTAGGCATTTGGGGAGGAAACTAGCAATAAGAACTTTATATGTCCATCTATCTGCCTGGTTCTACCTGTCTATCATTTTCTATCAAGTAAATCAAATGGAACACTATGTATTGGAACTGATATCCATTTATTTTTATATGTGAGATAAGAGCTATAGGAAAAAAAAGGTTACATATAGAAGAGAAATGCTCAAAAAATGTTTAAAACACCAAAAACCATACAAAGATCTATTTTACCATTCTGCCTGAGACTTTGCTATAAGGCCAACTGAACCTGCAAATAAAACTGCACTTAGTGGTGTTTTCATTCTTCACAGGTGCTGAGCAAAAACAGACTCCATCTCTAAAATGGCCTCAAATAAGATCTTTGATGAAGTTCTGTATCACCAGATTAATCTTGCACCAAATTCATATTATGGTTTCAAAAGAAAGTTATTTTGCAATCTAAAGAACTCCATAATGTGAACTTAACTTGTATTTTTGACTCATTGCAAACTGAAGGACCTTAAGAGTACATTACATTTCCACCATGACCTAAAATTAGAGCCACATGAGAGTATTCTCAATACTTACTTTTCAAGTTCTTCCTGAGAATGGGCAAATGTACAATTTGTTCCTCGTGGACACCCCCCTTGCTGTCGCAGATCTCGGCACATACTAGTCTTGTATTTGCTGTTTGGCTGAGGCTATAGAAAAGAAATCGCGAAAAGTGTGTTAGAGTGAAGACTCCAGTTGTTATTCACTCATGGGTCTTTAGGACTGATTACAGCCTTAATTCTTTGACACATTAAACAAGGACTTGTGCTGAAACACCCTTCTGTACACGTATGTCATCACCTTGAGCTGACATTTTAGACATCCTTTTTGAAGATTATTTAAAGCTGGTTCAAATGTTATGTCCATTTATTTTTCAGGCAACAAAATGCCCAAGAAGAGATTTTCTCACTAATTTACTGCTGTATTAAGTTCTGATACAAAGTAAATCAATTTTAAAAATCATTAAAACAAAAGACATAAGCTTTACCCATTTAAAATTTCCCCAAAAAAGGCAGAATACAATTCCCCCAGAAAGCAAATTACCAACTTTTTTTGATCAATTTGAGCGTACAACTCAACTCTTACGATTAAGCTGTTAAAAGTTCACACGAGCCACGAGGCAGAATATAAAGAACCCAAAACTGCTTAATTTGCAGTTAAGAAGTATCATTCTTAATTTTGCGACACTAAAAAATTAAAATACTTATCGTTCAGATAATATTTTATTGTTATAAAGATAGACTGGAGATTTGGTCCCATTTGGTCAACTACTGTCGGCATAACCTTAGACATATTATTTAACCTCTTTAAAATCCAGCTTATGGGGCCAGCGCCGCGGCTCACTAGGCTAATCCTCCGCCTTGTGGTGCCAGCACACCGAGTTCTAGTCCCGGTCGGGGCGCCGGATTCTGTCCCGGTTGCCCCTCTTCCAGGCCAGCTCTCTGCTGTGGCCCGGGAGTGCAGTGGAGGATGGCCCAAGTATTTGGGCCCTGCACCCCATGGGAGACCAGGATAAGTACCTGGCTCTTGCCATCAGATCAGTGTGGTGCACCGGCCGCAGTGCGCCAGCCGCGACGGCCACTGGAGGGTGAACCAACAGCAAAAGGAAGACCTTTCTCTCTGTCTCTCTCTCTCACTGTCCACTCTGCCTGTCAAAATAAATAAATAAATAAATAAATAAATAAAATCCAGCTTGTGAACAGCAGTTACCTTGAAGGTGGCTGTGAGATTAAGAAAATATTTTATTGAGGTAAATATTGAACATCAGAATTGGCACATAGTAACTTAATAAATGGAAGCTATTGTTAGCAAGTGATAGCAATTAAGAAAAAAGTAGTGATCATTTCCCACAATGCCAAAGAACTACATAAAATATTTAGAAGGAAACAATGATCTATACTTAGTCAAAACCATTTGTAATGCAGTGAGTTTATATCTAAGATACTTCCTAAACTCTTGTTCTGTTATGAAATGTTTATCAGGAAAGGATTTCAAAAGAACAGATAAAAACTGTGAGAGAATAGTCATAAAGATAGTCCATTAATCAGATTACTAGCAAAGATGTTTCAAGATTAAACTGTGTTAGAGAGAACAGCAGTCAGAGTGCAATAAATATACTTACCTGAGGTGTCTCATGGCCTTTTCTACTATAATTTTGTATGAAGTCCACAAGACCATGAACCACGGTTTTAACAGCTACCATTGCATTTTCTAGCTGCTCCCAAGTTGGTGAAACAGCATCTAAAATAAGCCACCAAGGGGATGGGATGGCGGGTGGGAGGGGAGAATTTGTTAGTGGTAATTCTCTTGTGTTATTTACCTTAAAGGTTTAAAAAAAAAAAAAAAGAATAAGCAATTGAACATCTTTGCACATACCTGGATTAGGGTCTATGTTTGCAAGAAGCTCTAAATGAGGCCTCAGTCTATTTAAGTTAGCTGGGTCACCTGTTCGCTGCAGAACAATTGTCAACTCCTGGACACTCTTTGCAAACGATTCTGGAGACTGCAGCTAACAAACAGAAAAGAGTTTTTATTCTAAATCTTGATACATCTATATTCAAATGCTTTCAGTCAGTTCAATGTATGTAACAGGTTTTCAAGTGTCTTCAGAATCCATAGTAGGGGTATCAACGATGAACTAAATTTTCACCTCAGAATCTGCCCTATGAAATTCATCATGAGACACTTGGAAAACTTAATTATAAACTGTATTAGCTGAATAGGGTCAGAATGTAGATAAACTTGAGACATTGTAAAGCTAGCTGCTTTTGTACTAATACTCTGCACTTGTTTCCCACTTGTATTCCTTAGTTTACTTTGAAATTTAGAAAAAAATTTGTAAGAGTCTGATATTAAAAACAGAAATGGGGGCCAGCGCCATGGCTCACTTGGTTAATCCTCCACCTGCGGCGCCGGCATCCCATATGGGTGCCAGCTGCTCCTCTTCCAGTCCAGCTCTCTGCTGTGGCCTGGGAAGGCAGTGGAGGATGGCCCAAGTGCGTGGGCCCTGCACCCGCATGGGAGACCAGGAGGAAGCACCTGGCTCCTGGCTTCGGATCGGCGCAGTGCCGACCATAGCAGCCATTTGGGGAGTGAACCAACAGAAGGAAGACCTTTCTCTCTGTCTCTCCCTCTCACTGTCTATAACTCTAGTAAATATAAATTTAGTAAATATATATTTAGCAAATATAAATTTCCAAAGTACAGTCTATGGATTACAGTGGCTTCCCTCCCCCTCCACCGTTTTGCTTTTAATTAAAACATTTTTTAAAAATATTTACTTATTAGAAAGGCAGAGTTACAGAGAGAGAGAGCGAGGGAGAGAGGTCTTCCATCCGCTGGTTCACTCCTCGAGTGGCCGCAATGGCTGGAGCTGTGCTGATCCGAAGCCTGGAGCCAGGAGCTTCTTCCAGGTCTTCCATTTGGGCCTTCCCAGGCCATAGCAGGGAGCTGGATGGGAAGTGGAGCAGCTGGGACTCGAACCAGTGCCCATATAGAATGCCGGCCTTGCAGGCGGTGGCTTTATCTGCTATGCCACAGCGCCGGCCCAAAAACATTTTTTATGTACTTAAAAAGGCAGAGACAGAGGTGGGTGGGAAGGGATTTTCCGCGTTCTGGCTCACTCCCCAGATCCTGCGGCAGCCAGGGCTGGGCCAGCTGAGGGCGGGAGCCTGGCGCTCCGTCCAGGTCTCCCCCGTGTCAGGTCCGGCGCCTGGGCTGCTCCACTCCTACCCCAGGCGCACTGGCAGGGGGCTGGGTGGAACTGGCGCTCGTAGGCGTGAGTGCTGCTCCGTCCGGCCCCGGGTCTGACTCTGCCCGAGTGTGGGCCCGGGGTTCCACGCCCACAGCCCCAGTGGTGCAGCAGTGTGCATTCTGAGAAGTGCAAATCAACAGGTAACCCAATGTATCAAAAATATCATCTTTTTGGTGTGTAATTAGCGCAAATAAACAATTCGGGGCATTGAACCTTCTTGTGTTCCGGGTTTGAAACCCCAGGAGCATTTCCCCTTACAACAGCTGCAGGTCAGGTGTGTAGCAGGTGCACGTGGCTGCTGGCTGATGTGTCAGGCAGGTCTAGACAGCGCTGGGGTGCGCGTGAGAACCGTCCCCGGGGAGCACGAAGCGTCTCGAGAAGGCCAGTGCCCCCACCTGGGGAGCTGAGAGCGCGCCGGGGCACAGGCGTCCTGGGCCAGCGCTGTGCCGGCGCGGTGAAGTCCCCCACAGGCCCCGGCCTGCGTCCCTGCTGCTCATGTCCAGCTGTTGGCTGGCCGCCTGGGACAGCAGCAGGAGCTGGCCCTAGTGCTGGGCCTTGCACCCCTGTGGGAGACCGGGATGGGACTCCTGCTTCTGCCTGGCCTGGTGCTGGCTGTTGTGGCCGCCTGCGGAGTGAACCAGCAGATGGGAGCTCTCCCCCCATTTCCTCCCTCGTTAACTCTTTCCAAATAAAGAAATAAACCTTCAAAAAAAAAAAAAAAGAAAAAACAACTAAAAAAAAAAACAAAAAAAACCAGAAATCCCCAAACTGTTGGTTTTTCTTTACTCCCTTCAGAATACAGACAGCCCCTGACTTAGATGGTTTAACTCAGGATTTTTCAGCTTTACGACTGTATGAAAGTGATAGGCATTCAGTAGAAACTGGACTTCAAATTTTCCCAAGGTAGAGAGATATGGTCTGATGTTGGGCACTAGCAGCAAGCTGCAGATCCCATTCAGTCATATGATCATAGGGGAAAATCACCAGTGCTCCACAGTGTACTGTCTTCCTAAGTTATGATATCTTGCAAATTGGGTATACTTTCAACTTACAATGGATTTATAGGGATATAATGCCATAAGTCAAGGAGTATCTATATTCCAATATTCTTCAATGCAACAGCAATGGTATAAAATCAGCATCACTAATGTCACAAACCTTATCAATGATAGACTGCATATGTGATTTATGAGCCAAGTCACCATATAAAAGTGACGACCACTGCTCAGGTGAAATTCGGAGTCCTGCTTCCATAGCAATATGAACAATTTGGGCATCATGTTCTCTGCGTAATGCCTCATAACTACGAAATTCCTCCTTTAACTGCATCAGGGAAGAGTCTTCATCCCTTTTGGTAACCTAAAAAATAGAAATAAAAAAAACCCTCATTAGAATTGGTGTGCTCTTTCCCCTCTTAACCAATTCATGATGGGGTAGTAGGAGCATGGAGTGAAATCATACACAGTTTTCTCATAATATGCATTTTTCTCAAACTTTTGAAGACCCCCTTGTATGCAGACTTCAATTTCGGAAATGTATGTTGCATCACAAAGCAATAAAACAGAATCTGGGGCCCTTGTTGTGGTGTAGAAGGTTAAGCCACCACATGCGGCGTCAAGTCCTAGCTGCTCCACTTCCAATCCAGCAACCCTGCTTATGGCCTGGGAAATGCAGTGGAGGAAGGCCCAGGTGCTTGGGCTCCTCACCCATGAAGGAGAACCAGATGAAGTTCCTGAATTCTGGGGAGTGAACCAGCGGATGGAAGATCTCTCTCTGTCTCTTGCTCTCTATAAGTCAGCCTTTCAAATAAATAAATAAATCTTAAAAACAAAAAACAATCCGTTATTTGTGGCATTGGTAGGGTCATTCTGAATCTAAGGAAAGGATCTACAAAATTCAGGCTTCCAAGTCTACAAAGATGAGGCACAGTACTTGGAAAACCATGACTTCACTAAAAGTAAATGTCACCCAACTAAAGCCCTCTGGCATTAAGTCAGCATGATATCCTTTTAGTTATCCAAACACTGTATTTTAACATTTTAAATTACATAGCAGCAAGGATGAAATGAGCGCAGAAAATTGAAATCACTTTCTAAACCAGTATTTATTCAAATGTCAGGTCTCAGCACCAACTATAGATAGATGACAATTAAAAATCACTAATTTGAATGATATCTGTAAGGAAAAAACTCATTATATTAATGATATAAACACCCTAAAAACAGAGTCAGTCACTTCCAGTTGACAAATGATCTGTGTGATTTGGCTGTTTAGCAAAAATATAACGTTCCAGGAATCAGAGATTCACTTCAACTGTTGCCCTAAGGACATGGAATCATGCACTAAGGCTATCAGGCAAATACTGTCCAACCATAATTAGTGAAGCTTAATGCTTTAATTTGAACTCACTTCCATCATCTTACTTAAAACTAAACAATTTTTGGCCAAGGAAATCCTTTCCCTATCTGTTTTTCACTCTTGGGGCTATAAAATCAGCAAAAAATTCAAAAAAGCTTTGGTTTCAAATTTACCTGTTTTACTTCCATAGAAGCCAAGAAGTCTATTTCCAAGTTCTTAAGCCTCTTTCAAGACCTAGCCAGCAACCTATACTCTTATACCATATGGAAATTTAAAGAACTTAGCCTGCTTCCCATGTCTTCAGTATTTGATATCAACTATTATCATAACAGACAATTAAATTACATTTAAAAATCTCTTGGGATTCTTCCATCTCTTTTCCACCAGAACAGAAACAAAAACAAAAACAAAAACACCACCAAAACAAAGCACCTAAATGCAGAGTGGGGCAAGCTTAAATTTTCACTTCCTTGTTCCCAAGATAACATATAGGCAAGGTTTCAGACTGAAAACTTAATCACACAGAGAATGAGATAAAAATAGTAATAATGTGTTACAAAATCTATCTACTCTAATAAAACTTTCAATATAGTTTCTGACATTCTTTATAAATGTAAATGAAGTAGGATTCTATAGTCCATTTTTACTATCCAGCTTTAAATGACAAAAATCCAAAGTTTGCCAAACTACTTCAATAGATTATGTTCTGTTAACTGACAGTCTCACATATGGGTTCTCATTCTGTTAACAGGTAACAATTGGTGTTACCAACTGGTAGCTTCGCAGACGCAGTCATTCAGAAGGAGTTACCTCTCAACACTTTTTTTCTTTTGAAACTATTATTTCTATTAAAGGCACAGTTACAAAGGAGGGACAGAACTTCCATCTGCTGGTTCACTCCTCAACTGGCCGCAACAGCCAAGGGTCGACCAGGACAAAGCCAAGAGCCTAGAACCAGAGCTCATGTGGGATTCTGGTGTCGCAGACAGAGGCTTAACCAGCTGCCACACTGCCCCTCCTTTCAACTCTTGTAAATATTCTGAATTTCTGGGGCCTCTAAACTGAGTAAGACAAATTCTTAGAAAACCTCTGTCTTATAATCAGTCATGTAATCTTTAGATATTGCTTACTGCTTACCTTAAAACACGAAGCTCTATACAGTAGTTGTACAACGTGACCAATACTTGTTTTTGATGCCTGAGGAAATCTTGGCTCTAGTCTTTGCACGACAAAAAGTACCAAAACTTTCCTTGAGAGAGCAGATCCATCTTCTAATGCCAACAATACCAGCTTCAAGGCCTCTTCTTGCATAGCTAGGAATATTAAAGGAAGATGAATTCAGGATAAATGAGAGACTCCGCAGATCATGTCTGTTACAGGAATCATTGGTTATTTATTCATAATGCTCCATTACTCACAATCTGTATTTATTTATTTATTTATTTACAGGCAAAGTGGACAGTGAGAGAGAGAGAGAGAGAGAAAGGTCTTCCCTTGCCGTTGGTTCACCCTCTAATGGCCACCAAGGCCGGCATGTTGCAGCTGGCGTACCGCGCTGATCTGAAGCCAGGAGCCAGGTGCTTCTCCTG